TGCTGGAGACGGTCTCCAGCAGACCAGGGGCACCGGAGCAGCTTTCGCCCCGACTTCCGGGGCTAGACCCGGCTAGACCCGGCCAGCGGCAGAGACGTGCTGAGCCCGCCCGCCTCAGTTCTCGAGATGCTGACTCGAGTATAAGCCGAGGGGGGCATTTTTCAGCACAAAAAATGTGCTGAAAAACTCGGCTTATACTCGAGTATATACGATACTTACCTTTTTAAGTTTGAAATGCTAATTCTCATTCAGTGTTTATAATCTTACTTTTTCAAGTTTGAAATGCTAATTCTCATTCAGTGTTTATAATGAAAACCAGTATGTTGGCTCAATGAAAATCTGTTCCATTAGTCAAACATACGGCTTTTAATTGTATATCTTAACAGGGATTAGAATTGGTTTTTAGTGCATGTAGCCTAGTGCATGTAATACTCAGTACGGCTCATTTGATGGTCAAAGGTGAAGAAAATCAAACTGAAATTGAGCTCTAAATCTCAATGCCCCATTTATTGTGTCCTAAATGAAATATCTATTCTGTGAGCTCAAGCGACTCCTTCCTTAACAGTTTCTGTATTAGAGAATTTGCAGAGATCTCCCTGCTATTAAGCAGAACAGTCTAATCTCTTTGTTTCTGTACCTCTTAGAGGGCCTTTCCTACCGACAGCATGCTGTACATACCAGCGCTCTTGCTGGTGAAACTTATGTTGGTTGGGTGTGTGGGTTTTTTCCACATGCCTGTCTGACAAATGTGGTGATGTAGACAAAGCCTCAGTGTTCAGAAGAAATGGCACAAGGCATTTCTAATATGTAGAAGACCGTATTCTCAGTCCCTGCTTCAGGTCACCAGTTTTTGAGCCCTTTAAATAGGACTATATCAAAATCGTGGTCATAGATGAAATCTATTTTTAAAATTCTGTTTGCTTCTGAAATTTTATGGTGGTGTAGTTGGAGGGGTCCTAACTCCCAGAGGAGTTGTCGGAGGGGGAGGGGCTGTCAGGTTATTATGGGAGGAGTTATGGTGCTGCTATCCTTATTTCTGCACTGCTGCTGGTGATGGCACTACCTTCAGAGCTAAGCAGCTGGAGAACAGCAACTGCTGGTTGGGAGCCCAAGTCTAAAGGCAGAACTGCTGCCTGCCAGCAGCAGCATAGAAGTAAGAATGGCTTAATATGATATTAACACCCTTACTTCTGTGCTGCTGCTGGTGGGACACCGCCTTCAGAGCTGGACAGCTAGTCAACAGCTGTGACTCTCTGGCCACCCAGCTCTGAAGACAGCGCAGAAGTAAGGATGGCAGTACAGCAACACTGCCAACCCCCTGCAAAAAAATAAAAATACAAATAAAAAATTGAAACTACTTTGTAACTCCCTTTTGGGTCAGGTCCCCCCGTTTGAGAAACACTGGTCTCCCTTGTGAAGCCTGTATAGTATAGAGTAACAGCAAACAAAAGACCAGCTTTCATGGGTGGGGGGAGAAGAGAAACCAGATTTCACGGTCTGTGATGCACTTTTCATGGCTGTGAATTTGCTTGGGCCCTACCAAACTGCTCCCAGGCACAGAATATAGTGAGGTACCTACACTTCATGGAAAAGAGATGAGGTTATGGTTTAGACTGGCTGAGTCATTCCAGACAGTTTGTATCCCTGACGGGTACTACTACTATTAAAATTAAGAATTTTTCCCCCATCTGGCAGTATGAAGCACATACAAACAAGGGGAGTTAAAACAAAAGACAGGACTATGCAGCACTTTAAAGACTAACAAGATGGTTTATTAGATGATGAGCTTTCGTGGGCCAGACCCACTTCCTCATCACCTAATAAACCATCTTGTTAGTCTTTTAAAGTGCTGCATAGTCCTGTCTTTTGTTGCAGCAAGACCAGACTAACACGGCTACATCTCTATTACTAAGGTGAGTTAAGAGCACCACCACTCCTTAATGATCCTCTTCAAGAGGGAGGGGAGGCATTGCAGCCAAAGGAATACAATCCCATATAAGTATTCTCATGTTGGCTATAACTAGAGTCTGAGCTGACTGACAATGCCATCATATGGGAAGAACTTTCTTGCTCTACATCTTCTTACCCATTTCTTCTCCCCTCAGTCTCTGATCCTTGTCTGATTTCACATGCAACTTAAATTTCAGACGTGTTGACTTATCCTTATTAAAATGTTCCCACTTGAAAATATGATTCATCACCAGGTTTTTTGTTTCCAGTTATATGAAAACAACTGAGAAACTTGGAGAATGGAATGAGAAAGTGACACAGTCTGAACTGTGAGTTCCTTTGGTCATCAGCAGCACCTACTTGTTCCTCGCTCTGTTCTCCAATTTGTACTGCATCTCATTCTTTTAGGCATTAAAGGGTTGGTTGTATGCTTGGGTCAGTGAAGCCACGTTCAAGGCTCTTGCTTATTCACAATGACTCCCAGGCAAAGTATCTCTCGGCTGCAGAGGTGATGGAAGCAAAAGATATTTCTGTGATCTCTTTGGCTGTCTGTTGCCATAGCTGAAGAAAAATTCCAATCAGTTACCAGACCACACTTAATATTATCCTTCATTTTGTGTAAAGAATTACTGTTGCCTGTCAGCTAGGCCCTGTTAGGCAAAGTGTGAATGAAGTTCCATGCAGTATCACAATGAGTCTTACATTTCCTATTTTAAAGCTAATCTGTGCTTTCTCCCCTTTGCTCCATAAAAAACATAGCAAATACTTTGGGGCCAGCTGACTCCATTCTGCTGGCTTCAAAGGTAGACAGGATGATTGGATCTGTTCAGTGCTAGGTGGAACGAGGGCCAAAGCTGCTACTGTCAGTGTAACTTTGACCATTTACAAGTAAAGGCTTTTTGTTAGTCTGTTAGATGCCAATATAAGTTAGAATGCTGTGAATCTTAGTTGATGTAGTGTTTAGTAGCAATTTAGTTACTAGCAGACAGTAGTTATTACAGTGCATTTCTTGTTACCTGCTCATCTGTCTTTAGAATATGTTCATTAGTTAGTATTAGGCATTCATTGATCGTAGTTCTAAAATCAAGTAGATTATGCCAGTAGTAGAACTTCTAGAGTTCTACTAAGTTTCTTAAAGATCTTAAGTTTTTTGGACTTATGTGATTTCCTGCTAAAGGTGAGGAAATGGAGAGAAAGTTGGCATGACCCTGTTCAAGTCATGTAAGAATATGAGAGCTGGAAATATAACTCTCATTCCTGGTTCCTATGCTCAGCGCTATACTATGCTGCAGTGTAGCTGTTATATAGTGAGAAGGGAGGGAGAGACTGATTCTCCATTGGAAGCAAAGTGGCAGACCTTACAACTTAATTTGAACTAGTCTGATATGTTCTGTACTCCTAGCTTACATCTGTGCAATTTGTTTGGCCATCCACTGTTATCGGAATCAAGAGGAAACCTGGGCTTGGATGTTTGCCACTTCTAAAAGAACAATTTGTTTTGAGCTGTTCCCTCCTCCTGCTAGCTGTCTCCCGGGAATAGAACTTGTTTTCCTTACGCATCTAATGTATCGGAATGTCCGGGAAGGAGGGCATCTGTTTTGAAAGCATTGGCACCTTTTCTAATCTCCGTTGTATTTGTAGATATCTTTCAGCCAGCAGCACACTGGAGGACTGGAATGAAAAATTAACCCAATCAGAAGCGTGAGTGTTTCACGTCTAGTGTTAATCAACTCTTTCAAAAAATCACATTGCCACTAATACTCTCTGCCCCAAGCTAACAATTTTCTGCTTTGACTAGTCCCATAAGTACTACCTATAAAATCCTCTTATGTGCATCATATCTAGATGTATATTTATTGGGTAAATACCGTGATGCAGCATGCACTTATTCCTATGTGGTATCTGATCTCAGAATTACTAGGACTTCAGTTTCCAAGGCAGTCAATATACCATTTTAAGAGTATTGAGTAAATGTGAAAAGCTTACGAATTCCACAGCTATTCTATTCTGTCCGTTGGTCTCAGAAAGCTCTTTCCTGACGTTAAACAGTCCCTTTGGATGGAGGTTCCTCCTTTCGATGCTGATTTTGGGGTATTAGCAGTGTTGCAGTAAAATCTAGGTCTAACCAGTGAGCTTAACTCATGCTATTAAAGCAGATTGTTACATCTCACATCTCAGTTCTTCAGGATTCCTATTAACTACTGTGTTCTAAAGATAAACTTTGCTTAGCTTGCATAATAGCCTTGCTGCCTGTCATAATATGGCCAACATTGCCTGCTGCATAGTATCTTGACTGCGGGATTTTTTACATAATGTGTTTCCTTGTTTGGAATTGCATATTAAATTAAACTTTTTTTTCTTTTGCATAGCTGCCTGAATGAAATCTTACCTTGAATAAATGCCACCAGTATATTATAAAAATTATCCCTAGCCCTCAAACTGTATTAGATTTTTAATACCATCTCCATTTGTAATGGACTATAACTGAGTGGATTATGAGAAGCAGGTAGGATCCCCTTAATTTTCCAATTTTGCTTAGATAACAGCAGATGTAGGTCCTGGGTCACTTGTAGTTGAATACCCTTCTGTACGTTTTGGTATGGAACTTTGTTTATTTTCTGGTAACTTGAATTATATTAACTGCCAGTGTATGTGTGGCAGCATAAAGGTGGCTTCCTGCCAGGGAGCAAATGGAAGAGTTTTTTCATTGTGTTATACAGTGTAGACTGAATGTGTGTGTGTCGGGGTGTGTGTGTGTTAACGTATACGAGCCTAAGAGTGTGGGGATCTATTTTCAAAGCATTTTGTCCACTTAAATTACAAAATGAGAGTAAATCCTGACTCTTCTGTTTCTTGGTGATGCACCTAAGCCAGCAAATAGATTTCTTTGGTAGCATTTAAGCAGAGTTCTCTCCCTGGGTGTGTTCTTACAGAATAAGACACTTCCTGTTAGATAATAAATTTCCAGAAAACTACAGTATGAAGCCTCCCTATGTAGCTTGTCCAAGAGCTGAGTGTGTTTTTTATACTTTTCACATGCCAGTCTTCCTGCTTGGATTGACATTAGAAAGAATGTTGTTTGGCAGTTGCAATGCTAGCAAGCTAGACAATGTTGTTGTCGTGTTGGTCTCACATTGGAGAGAGACTGTGAGTGAAGTATTATTTTTATAGGACTAGCAACTGTAGGTGAGTGAGACTAGTTTTTGCTTATTTCTCTCTCTGACAGAAGTTAGTCCAAATAAAGATATTACCTCATCTGCCTTGTCCCCCTCTAGCAAGCCATGCACAAATTTTAAATTAAGTGGGGAGGGATAAAAAGTGATATTCCTAAGGTATTCTGGGAAACAAGTGCAGAACTTCCTGAAGCTAGGATTTAATAAAAGCCCATAGTCAGATTCAGGAAATACCAAGTTGTTTTTCCTGTCGTGTTTCTTGGGACTCTTCTGCTGAATAAGTAATCCTTGTCTGTCGTACCACTGCATGAGCTGCTCAGCGCCACAACTTATAAGCTTCCTGATTGAACTGAAAGCAAATACCTGATCTATGTCCGTGGTTTCCAACCACTGGTGCATGGACCAGTGGTAGGCTGTGAACCCCTGCCTGCCAGGCTGCAGCACTCTGCCGGGCTATGCCCCCAGCTGTTAATGAGCCCTGCCTGCTGTGGTGGGGGGAGGACGAGGGAGAGCTCTGTTCCCTCTAAGGTGCGTGTACTAAAAACTCTCCTCCCACAGTGAGCGACGCTATGGACTGCCCTGTGTTCCACGGCTGGAGGCGGGCTGCAGTGAAGCATGGCCCTGGTTTCAGCTCTAGCAGTCGCCACTTGGCGGGTGGCTACCCTGTGTCCTTTTAGTTGTGGGCAGCATGTTCGGGACCAGGGGGCGGAGCCTTTGGGGCTGTAAGTGTCCTGGCCTGTATCGATATTTTCGAGGGGGATCAGATTAGAGGCCCCAGTGAGCCATGCTGGGTGTCTGATTTCTGTCCCTCCACCAGAGGGCCTGGCTTCCCCTGTGGGGTCTTCCCCTGCTGGCTCCAGCCTGCACCACGTGTCTGGCCGCATCCCAACGTCCCAGAGTGCCATAGCTGGCAGAGCCAGTCGGAGTTGTGCAGGGGGAGCCAGGCTACCTCACCCAAACCAGCGAGTGTCCAGGGGGCTAGTACTGCCTGGCTGTTGGGTGGGTGCCACGAGCCCAAGATGCACACAGGCCGAGTGACCCTGTGCTCCTTCACCCCAACTGTTAATGGCCTGGGGAGGAGCTCTCGAGCCCTGTCACTTATGCTGCAGACACTGCCAATCCCATGTGTGTGTGGGTGCTGGGCTGTTGCCAGGCCAGGCAGGGCAGGTGCAGGGTCTCTTCCTGGACGTTAAGAACCGTTTGCTGCATGGCGGTAGGACTGTACAGAGCCCAGAATGGCAGCCTTAGAGCAGCTGTGACCAGGGCAGTAGCACTCAGCTGGTGGCTGGGAGGCAGCGCAGGACTAGGTGAAGGGGGGGGGGCAGGCACTGCAG